TCAGCGTCAGTATGATTGGCGATTCTCTAGTAGAAGTTCCGCTTTCCGTCATCACGTCGATGGATCGCAGAACTCGCTCAACTAATCCATTGCACGAATCCAAAATTTTATGTTAAGATATAATGAGAGATGCGCCAATAGAGAAATGCGACGCCGACGCTGTCTGGGCATAATTTTCCGGGCATCATGTACGAGTAGCGGGGTCTAAATCGTCTTGGTTGCGCGCGAATTTAGTGTTTGTCGACTCTAACTTTTGTTCCGGCTGAATCATAGACGCAATGTCATTTTAGTATGTTTTAGGAGGTATTCCTACGATGCACGTAAACGCATATATTTTTTCGCGGATTATGGTAAAAGAAATTTAAGAATGGAGAAAAGAGTCATTCAACTACGGTAAATTGGCGCGCGTATTGCCCGCGCAAGTGTCCCAAGTAGTTTGCCAAATAGCTTGCTAAGCAAGCTTACAATTCAACAAAACAATCATACGCGCATGATGAATAACACTGGGCAGGTCCAATACTTTGTTAATGATCTTCTGGGTTCGCTGAAATACTAACAAGGCCTAAGGTAAGGAATCAGTCATTGAATGCACTGGCTACTAGGGCAGCTTCCTCCACTTTTCTTAAAATCTGACAAGTTTCTCGCCCATATCCCGGCTCTTATTTCCACCATAAGTATCCCTATCCTTTCCCATAATGTTTCGATGGCGCTCGGGACATTGGTGTGAATTGTTCCCTTCGTTGAAAGCGCGCCATGCTGTCGAAACCAATCCTTCACAGTGAAGGTGCGATGCTTTTGGTCGCTCTATAGCTAGAAGGCGAACTCAGTCACGTACAGTTTCATACGAGCGAATACGAAACTCCTTCCAGAATCTATCTGATACGTCGGCATCCTCCACTTCCTCTAAGGGCCTGTGGTGGGTGGGTAAAGCTTCTGTTTACGGACTACCGATCGACGGCGAGCCTCCCGCCAGGAGTTTTAGCATACGGTCGAGTTAAATTCCTTTGGATGCGCAAAACGTTTCCTCCCGGACCTGGGCACACATTCTTCTGTCATTGCGTCGCGGCAAGACGTGCATGAACTACTCTCGTGCCGGCAGTTGACGTCGTTAGCTCTCTATGGGAATCTGCGGCCAGCTTTAGGTGTGCGTTAGCACATTTCGCATCCGCCGACCAGATACACCGCCAGGAGCTGAACTCGGCAGGTAGTCGCAATGCAATTGGGAAGGGAAGGCAGCCTATACAGTTGGGTTCTAGAAGGAACTCTTATCCACGTGTATGACAGCTGCCCGCGACTGAGCTCGCCTTCTAGCATTAGTGCGACCAAAAGCATCACACCTTCACTGTGAAGGAGTGGCTTCGCCAGCATGGCGCGCTTTCAACGAAAGGAACAATTCACACCAATGTCCCGATCGCCATCGAAACATTATGGGAAAGAGTAGGGATACCTTTGGTGGAAATTAGAACCGGGAATATGGGCGAGAAACTCGTCAAATTTCAAGAGAAGTGGAGGAAGCTGCCCTAGTAGACAGTGCATTCAATGACTGATTCCTTACTTAGGCCTTGTTAGTATTTCAGCGAACCCAGAAGATCATTAACAAAGTATTGGACCTGCCCAGTGTTATTCATCATGCGTAAGATTGTTTTGTTGAATTAAGCTTGCTAGAGTAATTTGAAACCTACTTGGAATTTGCTCATACGCGAGAATTTCTAGTGAAATGATTTTTTCCATTCTTAATTCTTTCTCAATCCGAAACAAATATGCCGTTTAAGTGAAGTAGGACTATCTCTAAAACATATTAAAATTTGAATTGATTTGATTCAGCGGAAAAAAAGTTACAGTCGAAAAACAATTTCGGCGAAGACTTTTGACCGCTACTGTAATAACCTGTTTCAAAAAATCATAAGCTGTTATCGAGTTGCAGAACACACACACAAGTGACGCAACGCATGTCCACAAAATGTAAAGTTTTCTGATGATGAAATTATTAGTTCGTCTGTTTGCAGTTTTATGCTAATCATTCTCTAATAATGAATCTGTATCAATTAACATTCCATCATATTGAATCACTATTGCCAGATTTCCTTTGAGTGCCTGTCTGTCACTTGTTGTATCCATTGTCTGCACCTGACACTACCTGCTTTCCATATTATTCTGAGGACGATGGTACGTAGTTGTGAAATCAAAAGAAACAACTTGACACACTTCGAGAAAATTCATTGTTTCACTCTCGATAGAGAAAGAAACCGTCACGAAAATCCTAATACTTATGACGGTCAGGTACGCTTGCGCTGCGCAAATGGCGGGCGTGGAAAGAATTTCGCCGTGTTTCGCTACATATCGGGCGACGCATTGAAATGAATCGGACGGAATACACTCCGAATATTTAGGAATAGTGAATAAAATGTGTGGAAGATTTAAGTGTGTGGTGGGGGGGTGGGGTAGCAGCAGAACTAAAATGTGTTCCCACAGGGAAGAAGGTCAAAAAAGTCGCCTACTGAAGGCATCATATCCGAGAACCGAGTGTAAATTCTAGCCATTTTCTAAGCATTTTGACAGATGCACGGCCGCCGAATTTGAACGTAACAATGCTTCCGTTTTCGAATAGTAACCAAAAGGGTACGCATTTTTTTTGTGTCCAATTATCGTTCTTCATCTGGAGTCGATGGATCCAAGCCAGTGATTTATGGTGAAATAGCGCATGCTTTTCGTGGACAATTTTAAGTAACTATTTCTAGTACGTGACAGGTCCAGGAATTCTTTGCCGCTTCAATTCCAATTTTAGGAGGCGAGTTTCATTAAAATAATTAAGTACAGCCCTCGTATGTACTTATAGAGTCATCTGGTTCTGTGACTAAATTTCCGATGCAAATGATCGATTTCTTTCTCACATTTCCATCATCGAATGAGGAGAATCGAAGACATCAGAAATGGATTAGATGCTTTTGAAGACAGGCTCAACGCCGTCTGACGAAGCTTCAGCTAGATCGCTGGTCAGACTGCGATCTTAGCGTTCTCGATAGCGATCGCGGTGATACCGCGTTCGGTTTAGCGTTTCTACGATCTGACGGCGGTTGATGCACTACGCTTTGATTGATTTGAAAACGAGCCCTGAATCTTGCCATTTGCACTTTGACTCTAATCTAACTTTCCCAGGCTCACTGAAGATTGCCGAAGTATTGGGAAAAGTCGTGAATAGTCAATGTGCCATGAAGAGACTTTCATCACTTCTCCCACATCTGTCGGTTCTTGTGCTTAGCATTTTCAAATTCGATTCGCCTGAATTCAGGGAGAATACGCTAGGAATCCTCAATCATGCCTCGTACTGTCGATGAGTCGTCGGCGAGTGAAAGCGTACGTCTGGAGAGCGCAGACGGTTCGCGCATCGCGAATGTGAACGGCGTGGGAGAGAACAACTGTTCAAGCGAAAATCGTCGACAAGCCGTTGATATCCCTCGACCGATTCACTTCCTGTCTGGATCCCGAGTCTGTTCACACAGTCGTTACTCGCACGACAGGCGCATTCAATTTACCTTTCGCTGTCCATATCTCAAGACTAATGGTCGCCCTTAGCGCCCTGTCGAGATAGACCAAGCCGAAGTAACATAGCCTTAGCGCCAACCTAAGCTCCGAAATCTTTTCGAGACCGAGGACTTCATGCTATCGCTTCTTCTGGCTTCAATTTGGGCAATATGATAAAAAACATTAGATACCATGGCATTGTCATCGTAGCATTTACCTGCTGGAATATTTATCAGGAAAATGCTTGATGCCGATATTCCAACAATGCTGAGGCCGATTATTCCAATACAGCAGAGAACTCTTGTCTGATTGAGGGAGGGGAGACTTCGTAAGCCGTTAGACAGACAGACCCAGCTCACTTTGAAATCCCAGAAATCAAGAAACGCAACACTGGAGATCAGTCACCCCAACCACATTGGTTAATTGAGCGACGACATCTTATTTTAAACTGGACTTCGAGCGGGAGCACTGAACAGATTAGTTCTTCCCCTCTTCTCCATACAGACGACTATAATCTCGCGAGAGAACCCGAAAAGGTGTCTGGAACCGAAGTGAATCAATGAAGACCGATAAGGGTCGTCCACCTATTCACTTTGAACCGGGGGGGGGGAGTATTTGAATGAATTTTATACAAGAGTTACTAAAATGCTTCCAATAGGTGGAACTAGCGACGTTGGAGTGGCCACTCTTATGCACGAACCGTGTTGGCTACTTCTGTAGGCGGGGAATTTCAGATCATGATCTACTTGTTACGGGCAACTGTGATGAGCACGGGATATTGTGGGTCTTCCACTGAAGTCAAATTTAGGCAACCGCTTGATGGCGGGCATCGCCCAGCAGGCGAACACGAAACCTCCGTCATGCAAGGAATCGTTATGGTAAAGCTTCGAACGCCCTGATAGTCCTTACTGTTAGAGCACCGCGCTCACAGAAACTCTCCCTTCGGTACTTACGCCTCCTTACACGGCCTAAAGTTGGGGTAGGGTGTCACCGGAAGTGACGTGCACTTGATAGAAGTTGCGTGGATAAGCTGTTGCCAGCATGCTTTGCTGATATCCAGCGATGTATGTTGGAAGCAGCTTATCCACATAGCTTCTATCAAGTGCACGTCACTTCCGGTGACACGCCTACCCCAACTTTCGGATATCGAGTACCCTCGCCTTCAAATGACCAGAAATTGTGCAATTGCAGAAATTGACGTGGCATTAACGTGGCATCGATTCAAGAACATCTTTGAGCACACGTGATGTCACCTTTTCATCGAGAATTTAGCCACGTGGCACACGTGGGTGCTCAAAATGTTGGACGTTAATGCCACGTCAATTTCTGCAATTGCACAATTTCTGGTTATTTGAAGGCGAGGGTATGTCCTACCGCGCTGAGACAAACCGAGTAGAGTTCCACTTCATCGCAATCAAATATGACAACTGTGATCTCTTACGCTATTTCTGAAAACGGGATTCAAAATAGTACCTTCACCAGATGACATAGCATTTTGACATTTTTCCAAACGCCTTGCAAAACGAGACGTCATTAACAACAGTGTTCCGCACTCTTCTGTGCACGTTGTTGACCAGGTGCTGAAACTGATGATAAGTTCCACTATGAACAACAGAGCCAATAGCAAAGTGCTCTGCTAAACATACGCCTGTTTTGAAATCTGCCCATGTTGGCTTAGAGGTGAGTAGTTTGTCTGCTTTTTCTTTTGACATCCCCAACGACTGCTGTTCCTCGGCTTTCTGCTCGGATTCGGATGCTTCTTCTTCTTCCATCATAGTCTTCAACGCTTTTCTTTGAGCAAAATTCTGAATGGTTATTCACCTTGTATTTTTTGTGCCATTCTTCAAGCCTCTCAGCGCCCCGCCAACAGTTCTTGTTTGCAGCGACTGAGGTAGCGCATTCCACCTCATGCCATTATTAACGTTTTGTCTACTGTCGAAGTCGAATGAATGAAATCTTTTTTCTGTTTAACGAGGATCCCTCAGCAGTCAAAAGATCGAAGAGGGGAGCATGCTTAATAGAAATGACAAGCAGGGTCCTCTGGGGTTGCGGACGATGCGGCGTTCCGCCAGCAGAGTCAACATGGGGCAGTCCTGCGCCCGCTCGTGTCGCAGCACGCCATCCCCTATCGCCCGGTTACACTCAGCCGAGTCCTATTCTGAACTTACGGGAAGAGAAACTGTTTCTATGGAAGTGATGACCCACCCTTAACCAATCACATGCTCACCCCTACCCCCTGCTCGTTGGGAGTTGGGGTGTGTGAGGTGTGTCAGGAATGAAGGGGCTTACCGACACTATCACCCACTATAGAGTAGCAGGGGAGGTGGAGGGGGAGGGCGCAAGCATCTCTGCGGTTTTTCTATACGCCATGGCGAGCTAGTTTTGGTTGTTTGGCCTCGTTTATGGATGATACAGCCCGGTGTCTTTTTATTCTTCCAATCGGTCACTGTTCGCTACAATGCTAAGAGAGCCATAGTCTGCCGAGCGCGACGACATAGTGTTCAGAAGTGTTCCAAATTTGTTTTCCCGTGTTATGCAGCCACAAATAAGCTGGGTTATGAGCGCCAATCCACACCTTTCGACCGTAGCCGAGTTCGCATTCGAAAGAGAAACTATACCGTACGTTCAATTGAGCATCACGATCTTCCATTTTCTTGTCCTCTTTTGTTCGAGCAGCCTTGATTTCTGACATGAAGGGTGTCAGCAGTGTTCGTATCTTTTGAACAAGGTTTCGCAGCATTTCAAGGCCGGCTTCTGAACAAAAGACAATTGAATCTCAGCGTTTTAGAGACAGTAGTCGGCAAATTTGGTTGGCGGATGAAAATGTTAGTTGACGCGTTAAGTAGTGCTACCAGCTGAGGCCACTATTCTTTCCTGCTTTTATCCAAGGAGCACGAAGTCGCTTATAAGAGGAAATAATTTGACGCTCACTGATTCTTGGTGGCATGTTCACCTACAAGCTAAATTTCGAGTCACACTGCGCCGCTATAGCCAATAAAGCTGAAGTCAGGCTATTACAACTCTTTCGAACTCTATACACCAAAGATCCATGTATCCTCATCAAGGCTTATAAGTCGTACATCCGTCCTATTCTGGAGTATGGGATCGATTATTTTCTTTCCCCACAAGAAGAAGACCATCTCCAGGTTAGAGTCTGTTCAAAACAGCTTTACTAGGAAGGTTCTGGTCCGTTCTTTAGGTTTCAACTACAATGTCATACCCAGGGCTGTTGTCAGGAACAAAATGCTTGGTCTGGAATCTCTTCTTCGCAGAAGGGAAAAGACTGATCTCATTATGTTATTCAAAATACTTGTCGGGAAAGTGCCGATTGATTTGCAAAGCCTCTTCACTGTTCTTCCTTCTGTTACTAGAGGAGAAAAGTTCAAATTAGTTCGTCCATTTGCTAGATCCAACACCAGAGCAAATTTTTTTTCTCTTCGCGCTTCTAGTGAATTTGGTAAGCTCACCAAAAAATTCGCCATGCCCAGCAGTTTATCGCACTTAAAAAAATATTTACAAAATTCTATACTTAAGGGCTTCAAATTTTCTCATTTTCAAATCTGATTTTTAGAGGATGGACAATCATATTCACTAGTAAAATTTTGTTGTTCTACTTCATTTTCTTATGATGTCTTTTTTCTAGTTGTGTTGTTACGTCTTGGCACAGTTTTGTTGTGTTTGTCCATGTACTTTTGTACATGCAAATAAATAAATAAATAAATAGAGCGGAATAATAAGAATAAGTGTTAATGTTTTCGTACTCCACGCCGATTCCGGTCCCAAGTATCCGACCAGGAAGGATCAAAGGGTTGTTTGGGTAGTGGTGGTTTTCAAACGCCAAAAACGAAAGATCTTTCAGTTGAACAGACGCCACTTGTTTTCTCAACTAACAGTTCTTTCGGCCCCTACGTCGTCCATGTCACGTCACCCTTTGCTCCTGAAAGTCAAGGTGATCGTCGAACTGCAGACGCCACACACTAAAAGTGATGAAGGCAATCTCACCAAAAATACAAAGTTTTCTCGTATGAAATGGCATCAAGTCATTGCAGTTACATTCCAGCTTCACTAAATCCTTCTATTTTATAAAGCGCTAACTTTGTGTGTCGGTTTGTGTATCTGTATGTGTGTGTGTGTGTGTGTGTGTATGTATGTGTGTCCGTCCGCAAAATGAAGTGAGTGAGAAGGAAGCTCATGGGATAAACAAACCGCTAACAAATCGGGTAGCTTACAGGATTTGAGATATCAATGTTTTGTAGCAGGATAGTTGTGATAACACTCTTAGGGCTATATAAACACCTGCTTAGCACACTTCCGTTCATTCCACATGGTGCTGCAGTGGCAGCTGGAGGGCAGTGGAGAGAGGAAGGGAGGATGAGGAAGGGAAGCGAAAAATCTACCGTCATATCATGATTGTGTCCCTTCTACTGTTTGAAACACCATTGTGTTGCATACGCGTCACTTCCACGAGGTGTTGGTGTCACAGGAGGAAGGGACCATAGCGGAGGATAGAAAGCTTGCGCAGGAAAGGAAGGTCCCGGCGGTTGACGGGGGACTAATCTGGTT